AGAAAAACTTTAATATAAGTTTAACATGACAGCAAATGTACAACGTTTCGACAAGGCAAATTCATTATTAATCATGTGAAATTTATATATTTTTAGGTGGTTATGTAATTGCTCTAATAGGTGAAAATGACAAAATGTACCAAAACCAAATATGTTAATGATTATAAAACGAGTTAATTTTTATTGAAACAAAAACTTTAAGATACAATTACAATTTCTTAGGAACACATAAAAAAATGTAAGATGAAAAGAAGTATTTTTCTTGATTTTTTAAAAATGCCATTTCAGAAACTTAAAATTAATACAAATATCAAATATAATTATGTGACTTATTTTACACATACTTCATGTTCTGTAGGAAGTTTTATGTTAAGTTTCATGCAGTTTCATTGAGTAATTCATTTTTACAATCCCAAAATACTGGTCTATGAATTTTATAAACCCAGTCTTAAGAGGGTTAACTTTCTCAACACAGGCTTGGTTGATTTGACTGACCACATGACCTCTTTGTACTCATTCAAAGTCTTAACAGTTTTGATACTACTAACTTTTTAGTATATATATATTATACATCTTTCACATACAAAAAATCATATTTTCAGTGAAGTATATTTAATAAATTAAAAAAGATTTGTCCATGAATATATCAAGTTTGACCGACCTTGTAACCATTAAAAGAAGTAGAAATAAATCCAAATTACCCTTTGTTTATCCTAAATAGGTTTAAACCCATAATAGTATACATATATTTACACATAAATTTTATTGTTTTATTGCCCTTTGAATTGTGTCTAACTACTATTTGTACCATTATAAGCTGTAAATCACTTGGGGAGCAGGCGATTCACATTACACTATCAATTTACATTACCCACGAGCTACTCCGAGCTGCTTGTGTGTGTATGTCATGAAATTTTATTATTATTATTTATTTTATTTACTATTGTGGGAAACAAACCACAAACCTTCAATTCACAGTCCATGCACACTAACCTAGGCCACAGCCAATACACTATATTGAAAGTTATAAGTATTAAATGTATAAAGACTTTAAACGAGTACAAAAATGTCATGTGTTCAGTCAAATTAACTGAGCCTGTATTGAAAGAGTTAAGAGAAACAGATACTTTTCATAAATTGTAAAAAATAATCTTGTTTTCCTGTCTACATAAAATATATACCATGAGCTTAAATGAAAAGATAACATTTTCATCAATTGAAAATGTATTTCCAATAATACTTACCTCTTCACACTCACAGCTGTTACTCGACAGCCAGAGTTTCTTCCTTTGCCCATCTAAGCATTGGTCTGATTTTTCTCACTTGCTCCAGCCTTTTATAACCCACTTAGTTGCTCTTGGTGATATTTGTCTCATGACATTCTCTACCTATTTCAATGTGCCCTCTATCCTGGTACTATACATAAGCACCTCATTGAGATAATGTTATCACTTTTCTTTCGAGACTGACTCACTCCCAGTCTATAACACTGGCTCTCAGTGGGGAGAAAGAGCAGGAGAGTGTGAGAGGAGGGAAAGTATTATTGGAAATATGTTTTCAATTTTAGAAAATGTTAACTTCCAAAACATACTTACCTCCCCTCAGACTTACAACTGTAATCCCACATTGATAAGGTGGAGGGGCTGGTGAGGGCATTATCCATACAGAAAGCATTTGCATAGATCATGGGTGTGTTGATCGAAGATTGGCATCCTAGTGGGGAAACCACACTACATCCAGAACAGGTATGCTCTTTACCTGGAACTTAATTCATGTACTGTGGGTGGAATTTTACATGATTTGTCATCACTACTGGCCAGGACCCAACCAGATAGCTGAGGTTCCACTACTCGGGGTCAGAATTATAGGGCCATGGTCTCTATATCCCACGTTGGTGGTTAGGGTAATTGGACCACAATCTATACATGTATACTAATGAGTGGATCCCAACGTGTAGCCATAGGGTGATGCATTCCAAGCCCCAGAATCACAATGAGGAGGTAAGCAATGCTGAAGTGGACAAACCTTCTCTCAACCTGAAGAAGTGTAAAAGGCAACACCTCAGGCTCGGGATGGTGGGATCACGTATGCCTTACTCAACCTGAGGAAATATAACTCATACAGTCTGGAATTATGAACACTATCTTCATTCAACAACCATATAGGCCAGGTAACTTCCACTTGCCCCCAGATTTATGGGGAGGACATGGAACAAACTGAGCTCAACCTAGGACCAAGGATGGGACCATTCTGCATTCAGACTTACATGGAGATAATGGACCATCTTCCATGAACAATATACTGAACCAATATTTATCAAAAAGAAGTGCAATGCTCAACCCAACCAGAGAGCCGAGTGTGAAATCTAATCTGGTATTACAAGTAGGCTCCCGTATAGGTTTGTGCCTCTCCTATTGATATCTGGGAAAAACATGCAGGGTCCCAGGTAGGAGGGCCCCCAACTTTGCCCTCTTCTCCAATAGTGGAGGAATTCACTCTAACACTGTAGGAAAAGCCTCTGTCCACCACCAGTAATTGAAAACTGGGTATGGTAAGGACTCCCTAGCTCCACTAGTAGAATCTGGGGGTGATGCAGGTTGGGGAGTTCTGAAGAAAAGTACTCTGGAAACATTGCAATAAGTGAACCAAATTCCCTAAATTTTTAAAAGCAAACCAGCCCTGATTTACTCAATCCAATGATCGGCAGGGATGGCAATGAGTGGCGGTCCAGCATAGTACAGTAATACCACCCGGATAGCCTCTAAGTGGTCTTATGGAACACCTCATTTCTACAGTACCTGTTACAACTGAGATAAAGTATACTGAATTAGTGGTTGCTAGTGCAGAATTGGTTTGACAAAAGCACACCTGCCTGGGTAACACTAGCAACAAAGTGGGATCCTGTAAAAATGAGGTAAGGGACCTGAAAGGTAGCAATGAAAATACTCATCTCTCCATATAATCTAGCAGAAGTGGTTAAGATAGTTACAGGGGGTAGGCAAAATTCCTCAAAAAAGATACTGCCAGATCATGCAAATAATGTGAGATAAAAGTATTGGGGGAGATCCACATAGCAGTCCACACACTGGCCTTCAGCAGGGAATTCAACTGAGCTGCTAAGGACATCAAAGTTTAACAAATCTGATTAGTAGTGAATCTGAGAAGATTCCTCATCCTTGAAGAGAGTCCAGAATAAAAAGTCATTGTCTAGCATCTCTAAAGGCATTAGTGCAGGCAACAAAATCTTTAAGACTCACTGAACACGAAAATGATCAAAATCTGATCCATCATAGAAGTAAGAAATATGAATCAGATAAATCGATGAAAAAGGATTTATCCCATTCCCTATCTGACAGTGTCTTGAGTGAGAAGAACCTGTCTGAGAATAATAAAGCGGTCTGTGCAAACCACTCCGACTGGCGTTGTCTGAAGGCCAACAGCAACGAAAAATAAACCTTCAGGTAAAGGTGATACATGGCATATGAGAATCAGGTCACAAACAGGTGTTGAAAAAGGACATGTAATGTAACCCTAATATACCACTTAGGTAACTGGATTGGTCATTTGGGACAAAAGACTCAAATTGACTTAAGAAATCCAGAGAGTACTGGGAGCTGAAAAAATATTTTGTCACAAGTATTGAACAGTAGTTGATAAGGCTGCCTTATACAGAAAGATTGTGGAAGATGCAAAAACACTTGCCAAAGAACCAGGTCAGAAACAAGTTATGGATGGCATTTCTGATCGAAGTGGGTTCAACCTCTTCTCAATACACCATTGCCAATATGTGCATCATTTCCATTGAGAAATCCATCATGGAACTAAGCAAAAAGATCTGAGACAAATACCTGGCAAGCCTACAAATTAAACCCCGATGCCATGCAAAAAACTGTATAACCTCTATGCTTGAAGCTTTAGCTCTGGTTAGCTGGGTGTACTATGTCAGATCATGGCTGCCTCCATAGAGATGGCCTAAGAAAAAGTGGAAGAGGTGGACACCCCTGAAGGTACCGCAGAAGCATAAACCAGGGTGTAGCTACCAATCCGGTGCTATCCACAGGACCCAACAATGGGTTAGAACAAATCATAGTTAGTACCTTGGGTACCATATGAATTGGAGGGAAGGCCTAGAGTTGTAATCCTGTCCCGTCTTGACGGAATGCATCCATTGCCAAAGCCAAAAAAAGGAGATTCAATATTCGAAAACAAGGAGCCCTGGACCAAGTGCCTCCTCAATGAGAAACACTGGACACCACCATAGAATTGTTAAAGTGAAGCCTGACGACTGTCCCCTTAATAAGCCCATACTATGAGGCATTGCCTTTTGAAGAGCAAGAATGACTAAAACATTGTGTAGGAAAGCCTCATTGTCCATGCGTAAACCCTGGAATTCCTGACTGTTGTTTCATGTACCACATCCCTGAAGTGAGGCATTTGTGAAGAGATGTAAATCTGGATGAGGTGGTGGCAGAGGAACCCATATCTCAGTAGTGTCTCGATTTAACAACCCCTCAAGATCAATCCCAACTAAGGATACTGGAGAGTCCAGTGCATTGATATTTATGATTTCTTGGTCACATAAAGACCATTAAAAGAATCTCTTGTGCTCTCGTCCCAAAGGCATGAGGGATTTGAGTGATGCCCACATTTCCAGAACAGAAAGAACCATCCATGCAGTGGGAGAAGGAGAGGTGAGTAAATGTCAGGTTTCTTCTTCCATAGCATGGAGCTGAATGGGAGTCAGCTGAGAGATGTGATGAAAAAAAATAACTGATAACATAGCGAATTGGAGCAAGAATAGATGTCTCAGCTCTAAGAATGAAGCCTGCCTTAGTTATTTCTGAAAGCAGAATCAAGGTAAGCAGTAACCAGTCATCTGTGAAATGGTGAAGTGCTATGAAATGGATGTGATGAGAAAAAACTCATACAATTTGGCAGAACCCATGTTAAGCTGATGCTAGTCTGAAAGTAAAAACCCTGAACTGCAGTACCTGACCCTTGTGCACAAAAAATTCCAAATGCTAATAATTGTTCCAACTCTTCATCAATGAAGTTGGTGATTTTGAAAGTCTTCCAACAAAGTGTAGCATAAGGTACACAATACATCGGATTTTAGAGGTAAACTTCAAACTCCACCTTAGAACCTCTAAATTCAAGGAGCATATATATTATTTGAGTGTTGGAATATGCTTCCATCCAGGGGTGGTAGGCTAAATGACAAAGTTCTGAGATCCATATCGGATCAGGCATAATTATTTCTTCATGTAACTGAGAAATAACCTCCCTGCATGTACCACAATGCCTTGTATAGATAGAAAACTAAATATTTGCTCCCTCACCTTTCAGCCATCAAGTAATTGCAGGCTCAAAAGCCACTCAGGAAAGACCCAAAACATCACTCTCTCGATGAATCAACTGAAGAAGACAAATTAAAAGCAGCTTATCCTAGAGTGGCCTCCTTTTTATATTTTTAAGACTGTGTTAATTACAGTTGATTGGAACAAAATTAATCAGGTAAGTTTGTTTAGTTAGAGCAAAGCAACATTGGGCTATCTGCTGTGTCCATTATAGGGGAGCAAACCCCGGATTCTATTGTTGCAAGTCCATAAACACACCACTGTCCCAGAAGGTGCAGGAAAAAGAGAATCTAAATTCTCTCCAGGAGGATCAAACTGAATTGTAGACTCAGACCCCCCAGGAGGAACACCACGGAATCAAATATACGTCTCCATCTCATTACAAATAAGATCACTGACAGTCTCAAACAAGAGTCTAAATCAGCTTGTCAATTGGATTTTTTTTGTTTTCGAAATCAACTAGGTAACACAGAGAATGCATAAAGTATCTTTGATTAGCACCGAGAAACCCTTTAGTAATGAAAAAGTGATAACATTACTTGAATGAGGTGCTTATACACAGTACCAGGATAGATAATGCATTTATTAGGTAGAGTGTCACAAGACAAATATCACACCAAAGGTAATTAAGTAGGATATAACACACTGGAGCAAGCGAGAACAAAATCAGACCAATGCTTAGATGGGCAAAGGAAGAAACCCTAGCAGCCGAGTAACAGCTGTAAGTATGAGATGAGATAAGTATGTTTTGGAATGGTGATTATATTTCCTACAAAGTATTAAATTCCCTATCCAGGCTACCCAAGTTCTTGTACAAATACTTATGCCCCAAATCTTTAAATTTCAATCCACCTACCTCAACTGCCTTCATATCAGCAATGCGAGATGACAAAACTTTAGCATATCTTAATGGAGCAATTTTTTCTAGATCAGCAAAATTAATACGCCTGAAAAGAAAAAAACAATAACATTATTTTACAAACTATTTTCTGATGTTGAAATATGAGAATGATAAACAAAGAAATAAAGATTACACAACACTTTCTACTTAAATAAGGTGAAAAAATATTCTGTTTTAAAAATTCTGAGAACTAATTGAGCACAGAAAAACATCACACACACTTTGAGATTAGAGTTACAAGTTTTATTATGCAACAACTATTTCAAAGTAACTAATAACTATAACCAGAACTTCTTTATAAAAATCTGTGACAGGGACTTTGGAAAACAAGGATATGCCGATTAGTCTTTATAACTTTCATAATTTGTTATCTATCTTTCATTAACACTTTAAGAAAAAATTATAGAAAAAAAAACTGACTGAGATACTAATTTAAATATTACACTAATCAACCAAGAAAGCAGAAGCTAAATGAGTAATATGTTGAATTATATTACAAATACTGATCTGGTCAATGGTTGTTATCAAATTATGTTAGGTTAATATTAATAAAAGGATATTTCGGAACTTTATATACACACACATTATACAATAAGTTATTTTATGTTTCTTTAACAGCAAAGTCTACACAGTTCTTCTGTGAATCATCAAGTAAAAAGAATTCTGAAGCAAAAAATTTTCATTGTCAGAAAAATATGTTGATATTTGGTAAATGGTACATATTTTGCAACAAAAATAATACTAACATAAATCTATGAAGCTATTACTTAAAGAAACTACACGAAATCAAACTATGTTTGGACTCTTTAATATACAAAAAGATAGAGCAGTTGATAAAAGAAAATAAATTTCCCTTTAAATATGAGTGTATATCTGTATCTCATACATAACTTTCAAATATCAACTAATTATCAAAATTGATTCAATAAAACTAAATTTCATTTTGAATGTTTACAAATCCAGACACCCAAGAAAAGGTGTACGTCTACAGCATTGTCAAATGACATTCCTCCAATAAAACAAAACTGGGACACACTACAGATATATACGTATTCATGTGCTTGAGAATACTCTATGCTCAAAAACTTCAAAAAGAATGTACAGCATTTGTATGAGATATTTCTGATAAAACTACAACACTATAGTATCTCAAGGATATCTGTTAATGCAGAGAAGTTCGGACTTGCAGAAACAAGAGGTTTGCGAGTCTCATATGCAGGCATGTTTTGCTGACAGGTGCAATCATTGGGCCACATCAAACAAGGCAGGACAAAAATAAATGTTAAATAAACATCACCATGTTTACAGTACAAACATCAATACCCTATTACTCAATTCAAAAAAATATCACAAATTACAAGAAAGCGAGTAATTTTGTAGGTATAAACAAAAGAAAGAAGAGTGTGGCTACCCACAGTATAAAAGACTTTATTAAACAAACAAACAAAAACAAATGAATTTATAGATCTAACTCCAATACAAAAATAAAAATGAAAATAATGCTAAATACATTAAACAAACTCACAGTTTGCTCACAGAGTGAACTTACACTTATTCAATAAACAAAAAGTAAGACTACACCAAAATAATCTTGTTAACATGAGAAAAAAGGGAGCTTTAAATGTTTTAAATAATCTCACTGAAATCTCTAAGTAATTCAATGAAAATTAGTAACAGTACAAAATTAGTAAATGTCAATGTAGAACTATCCTAAAATTCTAAAACAAATTCCAAGGTAAACTCCACTTAAAGTCTAATAAAATATCTGCTAAAGACCAAATGAAAAAAGATATGGTAAAGTATCTTGAAATCTAAGAGAAAACCTAAGTAAAAATCTATGAAAACATCTACAAAAATCTGCTCTCTAAAGCCCCAACACTGTTTTAAATCAGTGGGTGAAGATCATGGGCAAATCCATCTGCACCTACTGCCACATTTGATGACAAGAATAATTCAGCATACTAATTAAAAATAATGTTATTTGTTATTCCTGCAAGATAATAGACAAGAAGGTGCCTAATCTCTACATGACACAATTAACCTCTGAGCAATGTTAAAGTTAGTAACATGCTTGAGCAATGTTAAAGTTAGTAACATGCTTGAGCAATGTTAAAGTTAGTAACATGCTTGAGCAATGCTATGTTCCAACTCAAAGGACTATAGAGGGAGAAAAAAAAAGATTTTGTGAACTTAACACACACTGCTGAATGTCTGTAAAAAACAAAGTAAAACCAAAACACATTAAATAATAATTTTTAATTAGTGTTGAAGCAGTACAAACATCTCTGGAAATATCATATGCAGATCATTTATAGACAAAATACAGTTGTTCTCACCCAGTCTGTTGACAAACAAATCCAGCTAATTGGAACAGAATATCCACTTCTAGTGGTGTCAACTGAGATATCTGCTGAGATGATAACAGGAACTCCTCTAAAAAAATAGAAGCTCTTATAAATTATGTGCAGGAGATATTGTTACCTGAAATCTTCCAAATTAATTGCCCTTAAATCCTTTAAGACAAACTTAAAGCTAACTTCAGCATTTGGTGCTACGAGGTTGGTCAAATTGAGATTTTGTACTCTATAGTTTCCATACTATAACTTTTAATATACTTTGTGTATCTTCACAAAATTTAACAGAATTTTAGTAAGCATTACAAGTCTATCGTACACAAAATATTTGGATTTTTGATGAAGTATTTTTACTAAAGATTTGTCTGTGAACATATACAGTTTCTATATACTAGTCCAAGTGACAAGTGATTTCCACGTAAACATTAAAAATACATATCTTCTTCTCAAAAATCTCAAATTTTATTTTCATAATATCTAAAATCTCCTAAATACATTTCAAATTTTATATCTTATTTCTTATTTTCTCTACCCTAATTTCGTATAAGGTTGGTCAATTTGACTGACCTCATAACCACTTAAAAAAAAATCGAACTGAATCTAAATTTTCTTTTTTTCTTTCTATAATGACTTAAAATTGTAATATGAAATTACATTTGTTTATCCTATATAGCTTTACAGTCATAATAGTATACATCTATTTATACTTAAATTTTATTGTTTTATTGCCCTTCGAACCCTGTGTAACTACTATTCACACCATTACAAGTTGTAAATAACTTGGCGAGTGTGTACCTCACATTATGTTATCAAATTACCTTAAGCATGAGCTACACGCGAACATACCTCATGAAAATATATTATATTATTATTAGTGGTATTTATTTCACCAAACCTAGTTTCCTATTTTTACATCTTGGTTCTGTTTATAATAAATAAATACACATGATAAGCAAGACAAAAAGTACTTACCAATGTCTTTTTTTTTGCTGTCGAATGTAGATCCTACTTAATCCTACTTTTTTATACAAATGGTAGTACTGCACTAAATAATTTTTATTTAATTAAATAATAAACCAAAGAACACAGAATAATAATGTGCAAAAAACATACAATGTCCCATAACTATCACAATTTTTCTGGCTTTCTAACTATGCAATAACAGCCCCTAAAACTTCATTTAAGATTGTTGCTGTGTTTCCCATGGAAATCAAGCCTGAACTGAAAGCAAAATTGACAATTCTCTTTACAGAAAACAATGTAATATAAATATTTGATAAATGACAACCTTGGCTTTCTATTGGTTATAAGTAACATAGTACTGTACATCAAAAAGAACTTTGGCAGTTTTGTAAAGAGAGGATGTGAGAGGTGGGTGTAGTAATACGAGTCTGGTTATCTATTTCATGGCTCTATAACCAAACAAGATTAAAGGCTACAAAAATTATGCTTTGCCTCACTAAAATCTTGTGACATGAGCAGAAAAAGATGCCAGTGGAGAGAGAGTTAAAATACTTAATTAAAATTATAATTTCTTGTCAACAAAAGACTTCTAAAGTTTACTAAAAGCTTGAAAAATTTCGTGAAGATACACAAAACATATTAAAAGTTATAGTGTGAAAACCACAAGGTCAGTTGAATAGTTCTGTAGTTCTGTGCTAATTAGAGAGAATGAAAAATTTCTCAGAGAACTTTTAATGGAAACTGAGGTTTATGAGGTTGCTTGATTAAAATCAGCTTTATATTCTTTTGTTTGATCTTCAACATAATAGTAGGTTTTATAATTCGATGACGAGGAACCCACTTTGAGACTAATAATGCTTGGAGATGGCTTGTATAGGTAATGAAGAAAAACTTTAATATAAGTTTAACATAACAGCAAATGTATAATGTTTCAACAAGGTTTTGTCATCATCAGGTACAAGTAGTTTACACTTTCGTCTTCAGTTTGAAAGTTTATTAAGTGGTGTTCAGATCAAGCAGCTAATTGAATTAATTAGCCCACTTGTTTTAGTTGGAAATCCAGTTAAATCATAATAGTTATAGGACATTGTTTGCTTTGAGCTTTTCATTCTTCTGTGTTCTTATGTGCATTATATAAGTAACTTAAAAGTATTCAGTGTATTATTACCATCATTAGACTTAGATTTCATCAGTAACTGACAGCAAAAAAAACAAAAAAAACAAGAAGAATAGATCACATATTTTTTATCTATTAATATAAAAGTAACTAAAATGAAAAATTAGAAACTTATTCAGTTAGGTAGAATTAGGTAAAACAATGAAAAACAAATCTTCACAAGCAGCTCGTGTTACATCATTCAACACTATAATATGTACTAAAGGTTCGCCAAATTATTTACAATTTGTATGGCAGGATTATTAATTAAACGTGGTTCAAAGGGCAATAAAACAATAAAATTAAGTATATACAAATATAGACTGTTATAAGCTTTGAGCCATTTAGAATAAACAAATGCAGTTTTTAGTTACAATCTGAAGTTATTCTAGAAAGAAAAAGGGCAATTAAGATATATTTTTTATGGTGGTTACAAGGTTGGTCAAATCGACCAAGTGAGGGTAGAGAAAATAACAAACAAAATATAAAATTTTAGTGGAAAAAAATGTTTTATATTTATTTAGGATGTTTTAAAGATTATGCAAAGGAAATTTGAAACTTTTCAAATTAAAAGTATTTTCATTCTTAAAATGAAAATCATTCTGCACTCAAAGCAGTCAACACACTGACTCTGTATATTCACAGCCAAATCTTCAGTCAAAATACTTAATTTAAAAATCTGATTTTTTGTGCACAAAACAGTTGTAATGCAATGTTTACTGAAAGCTTGCCAAATTTTGTGAAGATACACAAAATATAACAAAAGTTATAGTATGGAAACTCTGATGACCTACTTTGTGGTTACAAGGTCAGTCACATCAACCAATATCTTCAGGAAAGGGTTAAACTAAAGGCTTTCCACCTGCCACTCCTTTATATTTTAACCAAACTAGATGAGACTCTGCCAAAAAATACCTTGCGACAGTTTCCACAGACAAAAACTGAAAGATCTGAGACTTTCCCTTGATTTAATGGCCAAAGGCAAAAATACTTTTCAATATATATCATAGAAAGCTTTGAACCCTAGAGACATTGCCTGTATATGTAAAAATTATTTTTAAGTGTTTTCATTCACAATACATAAAATTGCATATACTGTGTCAAACAATAGTTCTTATTTGTCTAAAAATTACCTTTAAAGTTTTTGTCATTGTGAATAAACCTACTTACACAAACTGACTGCCCTATTTACACATGTCTTAAAAAGAAATATCAAACTGACAATGTGTTATATGTGTATTCCCTTGAAGTATATAGGTTGTAGTGTATGCCCCTTCCCCTACCCTGAATATCATTATCTTTCAAAATATACCGTATTCTAAGGATCTTATCAAATCTTGAGGATAATAGGAGAGATATAACATTCATTTGCAAATGTTAGCCTTTCTAGCATTAAACTTATTAATATTTCTTTATATATGTTTTAACATCTGTGAGTACACTACCTAATAGATGAACGTTGTTAGCCTTTTTCTCATTTTGGATTAAATTACAAATACATCTGGAAAAGACTAATTTGTCATTAAAACTTTAAGAGCAAAAGAAAAAATCAAAAGTGCCAAATCAGAGACTACACTTTAAAGATTACTTGTAAAACATAATTGCAGCTTTTGAAATAAAGGTTTTTTCAATATTTGTAATATATTTTAGATAATGTCTTGTTTCAAACCAGAACATTTTCCACAACTATAATTTTTAAGGTTTCGCTAAATGGTATATTTCATTCAACACACTGGGGATTCAAGAAAGAAAACTGTAAATACTGCTTCAGCCAGGAATATTCTAAGTAAAAAAAAATCTTGTAAACTTTTGCCTGTGAGGTTTACACTTAAATCAAAACTAAATTGCAGGATAAAATTTTCAAGGTCCTCTTTATTGTGGATCCAAATCATGAATCATATTCATAAGTGGTTTCAAGCATTTCTTTAAGGAAGTTTGTTTCAATATCATATGAAGATTACTAGAACAACTGGAAGTCACTTTACTCCCTTAGAATATGAATTTTACTTGATTAAAAACACTATCAAAAGTGCAATACTTACAAGAGAGAACAAAAAAAGACATTTTCAGAAAAAAAAAGCTGACCGAGACTTATTATACAAAACAATGTTGACAGAAAGGACATCTCATTACCAAGGAATGTTGATATACATCAGTAATGAAATATCTTTTAAACATCATATATCAAACATACATGTGTCTGTCATGCTTTGTATCTCCCGAACAGCTAACAGTAAAAAAAATTATATAACAAAATGCTTCTTTTCAAGAGTACATTATGGGAAAATTATCCATTTTTGCAATTCCTAAGATTTCATATCAATATCAATTCATCAGTCTTCTTAATTGCCAAATGGTCTTTCATGAAGAAAGTTCATGAAAAAAGGGGTCAACCTCTGTCGACTGATTGAAAGAAATATGAATGTAAAAAATGCATAAAGAGAAGAACATGTTTGAGTATATTTTTGCCAACAGTGCATTTCAGTCAGTCTTTTTTGCTTAAAAACAAATGCAATGAAAATTTCTTGATTGAAATAATACATGGAATGACAGAATATGGTTGTAAACGACCCACTAGACAATCATGTTGTATATACACTATGATCCAAGGTATTTGGATTGACTGAGCATTTTACATTTATTCCTCACTATTTTTAGGAAACTTACTGTTGAATTGTTTTAACAAACATCTGCTATTATATAATAGGTAAAGGAGATAAGAACTTATGATCTTCCCACACAGGTATGCCTTTCAGCAAGTCACAAGCTTTTACAAAGTTAGTTTTCAAATCTAATTATACAACTTTACTATCAAACTTTGCCAATAATATTAGCATTATAATACCGTTTGTAATTTACAGTTTTATATTATACAAGTTTTAATTCCTATATTCAAAAGAAACAATTAAAAAAATACTCGAACTTCAGTTTTATTGTCACATGACATACGAACATTCACAATTCTTAACTTTTAGTTTTCATAAATAAAATAATACCAAACCTAGACTATATATGTAGGTTTAGACACAATCTATATTCATTACATTACTTACATGTCTTTTGGTTCAATCTAATAAACTCTGAAATATATTTAGCACCCCATGACAGATCCACACCCACATTCAATAACTTTAGTTTGAGATTTCCAAAGCACTAGTAAATATTTGTCATTCATGTTCATAACCAATATAAAATGCTTATTTTAAAGTACAAGCTCCCAACAGTTATTTTGAAATTGGTGGGCAGCATTCATTATCAGTTGCAATTAACGTCTGTTAGTGGTAAAGCTGTTTCATCCTCTATGGCAGTAACTGTTTTTTCTTACCTCGATATATATATATATATATATATATATATATATATATATATTAGTTAAAGAGACAGTTAAACTGTACTTAGGTTTCACTATTATATCTTAGTGAATTATCTATTATCTATGTTTTAAAATGCATATTTGAAAGGTTTTATACGTTTTTAAATATAACCCAAATTTTGCTTCATTACACAAGGGTTAACTTTTTACATTTTTTGATCTTAACATGAAAATCACCTTGCACTAGAACTAGTCTGAGTGAAACTGGCAAAAACAAATTCTGAAAATTGTTACTACAAATACTTGATTTAAAAAATCTTATTCTTTATGTAGAAAATACTTGAAATCTTTAATAAAATCTTACCAATTTTCCTGATAGTATATTATGAATGCTCAGAGTTATAATATCTATAGTTTCACATATACACTTTTGCCCCTAGCTTGTGTATTTTACATGGACATGTGTTGAAAGAATTAAAATAAAAGTTAATTTGCAAAACAATCAAGTGTAGAAGGAATTCTGAAAGTCAAATTTATTTCATGATATTAATGAACCTAAAAACAGTGGGATGATCAGGTTTATCAAAGTTTCAGTTAAAGTACAAAAATATATCACTATGTACAATATTAATAACTCATCAAGATGGATAGTAAATAAAGTTATTAGATAAAAAAATACAGGAAATGTATAAAAAAACAATTACCCTTCCAACATAATACTGGAACCATGAACAACATGACCCTTTGGCATTTTAAATAATATAAAAAAATCCCAATATTCTATATACCTTTTGTAACCTCCTGTGTAGAACTGCCTCTGGTGAAGTTCAGGTAGATTCGTTTGACTAACTCCATGTTATTCAGTAGGCTGTTAAAAGCCATAAAGTATGGAAAAGTCACCAGATGGCCTCCCAAACCTCCAGCTACCTAAAAGAATAGAAGCAAAAATTTAAAGCATATCTGAGAGAAATGAAACAGTTTTTCCATGACCACTTTGGAAAGGAAATAAAAACCTTCAAAATTCAAATGTACTTTTGAGTTTGAAAATGTCCATTTCATTGAATCTTTGCAAAGGAAGTTTTGCCAACAACTGTATACAATATTTTTATAATTTCCCCAAAAGGGGGACAAAGGCTGCCTGGAGGGATCACCTGTATTAACCACTCGCACCCTTATACAGTAGTGTGTTGTCTGTAAATCAGCCAATTTTCACTAAAATGACATCATATAAGGGATGCTTGACATTGCAATTTGTACCGTCGTGATGTCAGCAAAACATGCACATGCCATGAATCACGAGAAAAATTATGAACTCTGTAGGCTACAACACAGCATGACATATGAATTTCAAAAGAAATAAATAAAAGTATTTGTTACTCTTAATTTTGGTTTTATTTACTTTTGCAACAGAACACTTTCAGGGACCCTGCAGAGGTATATTTAGTTTAAAGTCACTTTACCATTACTATAAAAACTTTTTTTTTATAAATATAGGTGATACTTACTCCAACAAGATTCTGCTTCACATCTTCAGTTAAAAGATGGCTTTTAACATTAATCATGATATAGTTGAAGTCCAAAGCAGAAATGCTTCCACTTTTGCTTTTGTCATATTTTCGAAAAGCTTGAATGGCATGTTCCTCATGGAAGTCCTATAGGAAAGAAGTATATCAAAAGTGTTTTACACACAAATCATTTTATAGAAATATTTAACCGAAAATAACATGTTACAAAAATCATAAAAACTTACATATTTATGAATTACAAATTTATATCAAAAGTAAGCTACTTATTTTTGCTAAACAACTGTGATAAGAACTACAGCGCAAGTGAAATGTAATTGAGCTCAATCAAGTTTAATATAAATAAAAAACAATGCAGTTACTAGTCACTATTTCAACCATATAATTTGTCACTGAAGTGAGATGCAGTCTCTAAGGTTAAAGCTATATGCTAAAACTAACATTTAAAATATATTTATTTGTATGCCATTAATAAACTGCTGGAGTCAAAATGCTTCATAAGCTAACAAGAAAATACTTTGATCATCTAACAGGCACATAAAAAAAAATACAAAACTATCTCATATTGAATTATGCAAGAAAATGGTTTGTTTTTTACTTGAATTGTACAAAAATCTACTCATCTAATCTAATTTAGCAGTGATAGACTAGAAGGAAGGCAGCTAGTCATCACTACCCACTGCCAACTCTTGGGTGACTCTTTTACCAAACAAATAGTGAGATTGACCATCATACTGTAACACCACCACAGCTGAAAAGGTGAGCATGTTCAGTGAAAGGGATTTGAACCCGTGACCCACAGATTGTGAGTCTAGTATCTTGAAAGAAAATGAGCAATGGCATCACGCTGACAAAGCAAGGTTTTGAGTGTCATCACATACCTAACTGTATTTAAGTTTATATAAGCCCATACTAAAATAAATAACTTAAAAGTTTTGTGATCAAATTAAATAAAAATTGGACAGTTACTACAGATAATCAGCTTTGCTAGACAGCACCTAAATAAATATTTTGATTATGTAAAATTTTATTTGCTATCCTGGTGGTAAGTGAAATGTGTCATGCTCTTGCCCATGGCTTGCATGCAGTTATGATGATAAAATTCAAGGACTTTTTAGTGCTTCAAGTGTTTTTTCAAGGACTCCAAACAACAACAAATATTCATGACAGTTAAGAAACTATCTTTCAACATTCACAGGATAAATCTTGCAGAAGAATTGGAAGATAGCCTCAAACTGATGTATTTTGCCTACAAACCTTTAGGTACACACCTCATACAAACTTAGTAGCCTAAAATAGTGTCCACATACATTAAGAACATGTCATTGTTAATACTGTACTGTAAGACTTCAAAACACAAAAATTTAATGCAGATAGAACTTCATCTGTACATGTAAATTTTACTTCTAACAAAAACTACAATTATAAACAGCAAATACAACTTTAGTATTATGGTGCATTTGAATTTTACAAAATGAATAGCATAGAAAACACTCTCCTTGGAAAACGAAAAATTGCATCACTACCAAAAGTCAGGAAAACAACAAACAATTTTTTGTTCAGTTCTTTCTCTATTTCTTCCAGCTCCCTTTCTTTTTCTTTGTCAGTTTTCTTTAAAAGAGTTTGATTCAGTTACAAAGGCAAGTTTTCCTGTTCCCTCAGGTTTTTGCTAGGCTGTCAGCAGACTTAACTGTCCTACATCCACTTTAATATACATCCCTCTGCCTTTAATTTCCTCTATGTCATCCAAAATATGTTTTTCCCTTGCTGTCTTTCATATTCAAGATAAAGCCCATAATGCCTTGTGGCATATGCAGCTGAGACAAATATATCCTTCATGATGGGAACATCAAATAGTCTTCCAACAGATTTTACATAACCACAGATTACATGTTGGGCCATATCTGATCTCTCCTTCAGGTTTTAAATCTCTACTTCCTTATTTATAAAAAAATCTCTCAATACTTATTTGTCAATATGACAAAACAAGTAGCAGTTTGACAACTTCCAGAAGCTTGGCATATGCAGTGTTCTTCATGTACTCACTAAGAAATACATAAACCCTATCAGAGCTTTATGAAATTTAGTAAATTTTTCAGAACTAATAATAGGAATCTTATCCAAGAACAGGGAAAACTGTTGAACTATGTTTTCACTATCATTTTCTTTCAGAATCTCTGTACTTAACAGTATTCCCAGTACCTATTTGAATATGTCCTTATATGCTGACATGTCACAAGCCATGTTTCTTGGGTTCAAGCAAAAGAGGTTTCTAACCAACAAGTATGACAAAAGACATTTCTCCGGTCTTCTTTACAAGATTAACAAGAAAATCTCTACATTCAAGCCAGTACTTAATGATTTGCTTTTCACCAGAGTTCACCTTTTTTAAGAGCTCTTATTGCTAGAATACCAATATCAATCTTTTTGAAGTGGACACAGTTTTATTTTTTTGTTGATATCAATTCACACAAGTGTTCCAACACAAAACACTACAGAAATTCATTTTCATTGAATCTCATTAATTCTCATATAATTTCACTCACATCACCTGAAATGACACAGACCATTGTTGCATCTGTATGGTAGACTGTCAAGAAAGGCTCCAAATGGAGAACCACAGCCTAGAAGTGAAGTTTAGCCTTGAAATGTTGGTCACAGATAGCCTCTGCAATGGTTTCAAATGCCTTGTACCCTAGTTCTGGTAGAAATTTACATTATACTGCACTGATGTAATTTGCTACATCACCCCAAACTGAGAGCTCTTGATCACACACAGATTTAGTCTCAATCTATCAGTGGCTATCAAACTTCACTGGCAGTTTTGACAAATCTGAAGCAACTTTGCAGTAGTATTCCCTTCTTAGAAATACTTCTGTTCTTTAATAATGTCCCAAATGTTCATAATATTCCTGGCAAAAAGCTTTCAACAGATGACTTAGAAAACAAGAGGAAATAAAACCTAACAAAAATATCAAAGTACCCCTGATGCCATAACATTAACAAATCAAATTAATTACATTTTTGGAAGAAAAAAATTCATTTTCACAAAGGATCTATGATTATCTAGAACTACTGATTTTAAATGATTAGGGTCATATATTTGTCAAATATGGAAATAATCTTGTTTCTATGCAATGTTTATACCGAGAATTAAAGAGCTTAACTCTCTACACGGGCTTTGTCAAATTGACAACTATGTTTGTACTCATTTAAAGTCATTATTGTTTGGATACTTCTAACTTTTAATATAGTACAACTATCTTCACAAAATTTGGCAGACTTTCAGTACACATTACAAGTTATTAACATACAAAAAATCAGGTTTTTAGTGCAGTATTTTCAATAAACTAAAAAAAAAGAGTTATCCATAAATATATTGAGTCTTTTCTTTTACTAGTCCGAGTACAAAGTGATTTTCATCTTAAGATTAAAAATACTTTTCTTCATCTCAAAAATTTGTCAAATATGAAAATAATCTTGTTTTTATTCAATGTTTATACTGAGAAATAAAGAGCATAACTCTCTACATGGGCTCGGTCGAATTGAACAACTATGTTTGTACTCACTTAAAGTCGTTATTGTTTTGATACTTCTAATTTTTGATATAACACAACTATCTTCACAAAATTTGGCAAACTTTTAGTACACATTACAAGTTATTAATATCGAAAAAAAGTCAGGTTTTTAGTGAAGTATTTTTAATAAACTAAAAAAAAATATTTATCCGGGAATATAGCGAGTCTTTTCTTTTACTAGTCCGAGTGAAAAGGCCACAGATAGGCCTAAATAAAATGTTTTTAATTTTGTACCAGTTTTGACGTTGAATATTATTTATGATTTTGATAATTCTATGTTTAGAAAACAAAGTAATATAATATGTCATTTGACAAATGAAAACCTTGGCTTTCTATTGGTTATAAATAATATAGTATTAAACATAAGAGAGAACCATTAACTCACTCCAGATGGGTCACAGGTCAAAAGTCATTTCATCACGTCTGTTGTCTCGCATTCAAAATTTTATTGAACTATTGCATGAATTTATGTCAATAAGTTTGGTATCAAACTGTAGATTATAATTCAAGTTTTAGTATTATACATTATTTAATTTCTTAATTTAAAAGTAAATATTAAAAAAATACAGTTAAACATCTATTTTTGTGTGTCACATGATGTCAAAATACTAAGTCTATGGTTTCATATGAATTAGGAACTCAAATTACCAATATTGACAAGCTAGAATATAAAATAAGAATGTCATATCTTTTTCTATTTGCTGAGATATCAAATACAGTGCCCCCACTCACCTCTTTCCATTTTTGGAAACAGTCCCTTATATACATTTAATTCAATAAAGGACACGTGAAAAATCAATCAAAATCTCAAAATATCTCCCTAGTGGCTTTTTCATCCATTTTAAAATGCTAGGACATCATTTCGTTCTTTCGAACAAAGATTTCAAGGAGGTAGGCTGAGTTTTTAGTCTGCTCAAAATTTCATATTTTTAGACCTAAATGCAGCTTAGTTACTAAGCTTGATAAATTATGGTGGAATTCTATGGTATTGATATAGTAATTTATGATTTCTTGGTTATTCAACTATATACATGAAACCTAAAAATAATTATTTT